TTGTATTACAAATGATAATGTTTAAGTGTGCAATCGATCTGTTTGTGATCTTCTAATTATCATATTTCAGATATTTAGATCAGTTTTAATTCAAACACTTTTCTAAATCCTATCGATATAATACGAAAAGGATTATTTGTCCAGGTTTATCGCTTTATACGTAAAATATTGAGTTTTCAAGATGTAAACTATTGTAAGGAAAGCCGCATTGCTTTATTGTCAAAATTAACAAAAATATTAAATAAAGCAGAACAGGTTTCAATGACAATGAGGCATGTGAATATTTCACAGTTAAATAAACTGGATAATAATGTGCTTCTTCTGCACTGGTATGACCTCAATAAGTTGGGTGTCTTTATGGTACATATTTGTGCTATAAGACTTCAGATTATTGTGGATAAATTTGAATTTTTTAATTATTTGATTTAATATTCGTAATCAGTTTCATTTTTCATTGAAAGCCAATGACATTTTCACAATTAAAAAATATTTGCTCTTATATCAAGCAACTATGGTATTTATCAGTTTTTGTCTAATTTGTTGAAAGTTCTCTTGTTTATTGTGGTTCCATATTACTACTATTAATTTCGTCTTTTGTATCTCGTTCTGAATGTCAAGGATAACATAAATGTTAGAATTATTTGAAAAAGTTTGTCAATAAGTTAGCAGTTTATTCTAAAAAATACTATTTCCCAATTAAACAAATATATTAGATTGTTTTTTGCTTCACGATCGTATTTTTGTTGCTCGCTTAGTTTCCTGTAATGATTGTCCATTTTTTATTATCAATTCTCTAGAAAAATTTATAATGAGCCTTTTTTGTTTTAAAGTACTTACCACAGTTTAATGTATAAAACAAAAAATAATTTAAAACGAGTAGTTATTTATTTGGACAAAGTCAAAATGCAGGGCTGCAATTTTTGATCATGTTTTTAATTTATCTAATTTAAAATCTATGTTATACACATCTAACTATTGTCTTGCCCTGTTTATCATACCTTTTCTGTTAGAAATGGTGTCATGGCAGTCATCTATCTAACTCAGTTTTCGGAATTAAGGAAGGACAGTCGCCAGTGGGAATTTATAGGTCTTCAATTAAAACATTGCCACATGATTATATTAATTAATTATTATATTAAAAATAATCAAATTTCATAGTGTAAGTTTTAAATAGTTATCTTACTAAAAACTAAAAGTCTACAAATTTAAAATTATTAAACGAAATTTAATACAATTTGAAATATAACACATAATGAAGTGTTTTCCTCTTAACTACGAATGCTAATTTCGAAACTTGTAATACGTGAGTTTTAAAAATAGCTGTTTGCTATTCAAAATATTTAATATTCTGCATATATTAATAATGCAAAAGTTATGAAATAACTAATACATCATTCTATAAATAAACAAGAAATGATTTATGCATTATTAAAATTCATTTGAACTAATCAATAATTAATAAATTCTCATTGCACCCAAGTATCCTGAGAATTCATTGTCAATTTAAAATTTTTAAATTAGTGAATGTCATTTTAAAAGATAATTATTCAATAATATGCATTAACCTGACATCATCAAATATTTGGAAAAGAAAATTCAAAATATTTCAGGTTATCTGTATGTAAGTATAATCGATATACTTAAGATCAGTTTATTCTTGCTAAAACAGTATATTTATAAAAAAGACAAGCAAAAGGCTGGTAGAAAATGTACAACGGAGATATGCATAAAGAATTATTAGTAAGAGTTTTCGGACTTTATTCTTATAGAATTTTATGCACTGCTCAACTTTTCGGCATTCATATTGTACAAGCGCATTCAAAACAATTTTATAAGATATATCGATTCATAATATATACGTTATTTACATCGTTTCTCTATCAAATGATATTAGCTGTGATGGATAAGTCAGAAAACCAAGTCAATTACTGCGTTGTACTACTTCCTACAAATATATCAAAAGTTTTTCATTTAGTCGTTTTTCGCATGATCGTTACTGTACTTATTATATTATATAATATTAATTCTACACATTTCGAAAAAAATATTACGAAAGTTTTAAGTATTTTAAAATTATTAGCACGAACTTTGCCTAACTTAAAAACAAACGACCGTAAATATCACAAGAATGCCACTTACTATTGTTTATTAAGTTACATTTGTTTTACCTTAATTCTACTGAATGCTTATATATATTTAAGATACAGAAATAAAGAGACCTGGGAAGAGTTCGATACATTTTGTAGTTGTTATTTTGGTGTCCTTGTTGGATACGGTTTAGGAATTATAGTGATACTTGCTTACTTCGTATTTACAATGATTCATTCTCTCAGGCAGATTGTACTCTCCATTATAAATGAAATAAGTGAAAAACAAATAAATGTAATTAAGGATATTTTTGTAATCCATGTAAACTCGATAATGTTACATAATTTAATTAACATTGTCGACCGAATGTTAAGTACCATTATAATGGAAATTCCATTGGCTATTTTAACTGAAGGTATCATCATTTTATATGTAATTCTTTTTATGGATTTACCAACTTATCTGATATCTGTCAGCTGTATCGTTTTTGTTTCATTGTTTTTGGATTAATTTTGTATATTTCAGTATTTGTACCTTTATCGGTAGAAGTAAGTATTAATATTCATTTGATTTGTAGTAAATTTATGGATTTGAATATTTTATTGATATATTTCTATATTGGGGTTAGTTATCAAAGATGTGGAATTTGCTTTTATCTCTGTATTTCGGAACAAACGACATTGATTCGGAATTAAAGGTAAAAACACGATTGTGTTATAAATTGTTAGTGAATTAGATTTCAGCAAATAACTTTAAATTTTAATCATTTTAATAATTGAATGTAGATATTGAACATGCTTCAATCACAGAAAAGTACGAAAGACGGATTGAGTTGTAACCAGTTTTTTATTTTAAATAAGATCTTCATTATAAAAGTAAGTTTAATTAAATTCATATGATAACAATTATAAGCACAGAGTGTATAGTAGATTATTGCTCTCAGAAAGACACTAATTTATATATATAATCGAGACAGGTTGGTAATGATAATGATAATAATAATAAGCGCAGAGCCAAAACGGTTAAGAGTTGAAAGTTGAAATTTGGTACACAGATAGGGTACGTCACGAAAACGCACATTAAGAAGGAATTTTTCGAAATTTCTTCCGGGGGGAGAGAGACAGGATTAAGGCTTAATACTTCCATCAACAATGGAAGTGTTAAGTAACAATGGAAATGTCAACAATGGAAGTGTTACGTAACAATGGAATTGATAAGAGAAAGCGACGTGCAAGACGCAAATGCAGGTTTTTTCGTTTTGCGAGAAATCGAACATATTTTTAGACCTATCTAAAAATTCTCTAATTAGTCTGGAAACAGGGGACTCAATTCTTGCATTCTGTGAAAACTGGTAAGGTTGGCTATAACGTAATAATCTTCATCTTCACCATCGTTACTTTTGCCCGAGCAACGCCATGGCCTACCTGCTAGTAATACATAAAATATGTTGTCTACTGTAGTTTCTGAACCGCATATTATTAATATCACGCAGAAATGTAGTGTGTGTTATTTAGTAATTATACGTATAATTATTTAATATATGTTATTTATCATGCATATAAAAAACATTGGTTTTATAATAAAAACATGTTATGCTGAATGTTTCTATTTAATAAATGACAAATAGCTCATTAGTTTCTAATTTCATGTGAAGAAATTGCATTTAATACTTTAAATATTTACTAACAATACAGATTATTATAGTATTATAGCAAAACTAGCAGATGAACCCGGCGTTGCTCGGACATAAAGAAACGATAGCAAAGATTAGGATTATTAGATTATAGCCGATTTTACCTGTTTTCACCGAGTTCAAGAATTAGGTCTCCCCTCTTCGGAGACTAATTAGAAATTTTTAGACACCTGCTTACCACACCGGATAACGATAATTTAGACTCACTGCAACCTCTAGCCTGTGCGTAGTACCACTAAGTGATAAATAATAAACGTTTTCGAAACTCTTTCTGCGTTCTTCTTCAGGTTTACTAAATTCGAAAAATAAGCTGGATCTTTCAGAATCATTCATAAATATAAATTCGTACATAAAATCGAACATTAAGACGGAGTTCGAATAAAGCAAACTTATGCGCTCTCCGTGTCAACTTTATATACGATGGAACCCCATATATCGTTGAGAATTTTTAGAAATGTCTAAAATTTTATTATAGAAAGATTTATTTTAGATGCTTTTCTCACATAAAGCGAGAAAAGCATCTAAAATACTACAGTGTAAGCCGAGTTCTTCGGGGTAAACTTTCATCTTCTCCCTATTACCCGTGGTGAGAATTTTCAAAAATCCCTTCTTAGTGTACGTTCTCATGACTTTCCGTGTGTACCAAATTTTAACTTTCATCTCCTAATCATATGGGCTCTGCGCTTATTATAATTATTGTCATTATCAACCCGTATCGATTATAAGATGTGTTTCAATTTTCATTTGTTAAAAATTGAATAGAAAGATACTTAGTATATCGAATAGTAGGAATTTGTATAAAACATTGTCTATTGTTATTGTTTAAATTAAAATATGGAAAATATGATATGGATATATTAAAATATGACTTCTTTGCATTCCGTGTAGTGGATGCCTCTTTATCCACTGGAAGGGATATAAAGAGGTCATTACTTTCACTAGATCAGGCCTTGTAACTGAGGATGAGGAGATTTTGAAGGTCAAACCTTATAATATAATAATTTTCCTAAAAAGTGTCGGAAGTCACATTTAATATATATTTTTACTTAATTATTATATATTTATACATTCCTATTTGTTTACAGGTAAAATTGTTTATGGGGGTAATAATTTAAGTTATTTAGTTAATTTAAATTATTAAATATATATGAAATGAAGTATAACGTTTAAAAAAAGATATATTTAATAGATAAATATTTTACAGTAATGTAGTAGTAATTACGTTAGTAATTTTTATAAATTTATAATATATTGATATTTTGTATTTCAGTTAATCAATCAGGTCGGTATTCAGACATTGGTATTAATGCAAATTAGTTATCTTTATTGACCATATTCTAAATGCTACCAGAACATAGAGTTGTGTGAAGAATGAAACTGGAATTGTCAAAACGTTTTTTTACATAACACAAAGTAAATCGAGGAATTATTTCTTGTAACAGCGTCACAATGCCGAGCTGCAATTTTTTCGTCACAATGCTCTCGATTCTAGTAGTTTTTTTCCTGTACATTATGTTTTTCCTGTTAACATTGGATTCATGCCAGTCATCTATCTAAGTTTTGTCTGGAAAAAAATATTTGACTTGAATTAACGTAGCTTAACGTTTCAAATCGGAAATAGGTATAAAGTTAATCGGAATGCGTTTCCTTTACCCTTTCCAGGTCGACTATCACATGTAATATAACCAAATTCCTTCTCCAGATTGAGGAAGGACAGATAATCCGGTGGGCACCAGTAGAAATGTATAAGCTTGCAATTTATAAATTTTCAGCCCATCTAATAAACGTTGGAACAAGATGTTATGTTTAAATTCATGTCAGATGTGTATTTTATTTAAATTTTTTATCTGAAATCCTAAATTTTTCTTTCGTTACTAATGCTTAGTATTGTAATGTACCGTTTGGACTTCACTGAAGTGATCTGGTCTAAAAATGTAATAATGAAAGGCAAATCACTATGCATTGTAACTATACATAACTAATAATTTTAAGGCAAAGTTACTAAATTACAGTTTTTAACAAATGTTTTAGTTCACATTATACTACAAGCCAACCAATGCTGTATGTCATCTGGCTAGATAACCGTTATAATACTAATAAATTATGAAACAATATGGTACTAGAGAGAATCGTAAGGCGCCATATCTTAATAGATGTAATAATTATAATTTTTAATTAAATAATTTAGATCTACTGTTTTAGTAGTGTTTTTTGTTTATATTATAATTTATAATTCACTTATAAAAGCAGTATCTTATTGCTTTTCATTCGACATATTTATTTAAAACACAGTGGTTCTTCATGGAGTAAATGGAATTAATCTAACTGGTTAAGTGATAACTTTTAAAGACATTATTGTTTAATGAAGACTAAATCTCCTTATTACAGAATGTAGACTGACTTCGTTAATTTCAGTTACTGGATACTTGAAAAGTGCAGACTTTCTGTGTGGTTTGATTATTTTTTACGCATTAGCGAATAACTTGCAAATAATCCTCTCTCTATGGGAAAAAATACACTTTGAGAAAAAATTATTTAATTACAGAAAGATGAAAATACCAATAAAATAATAAAATATAGGTTGGAAATTCTGGATAGAATTAATGGAATTAGTAAAAACACATGTTGGGCGATCTTCCAAAGGAGAGATGCATCTAGAGAGAATTTTATGGAAACTTGACTCCAAATAAAATGTTAGACACTTGATGAAAATTCAGAGAAGTCTGCTTGGCCAGATTTATATAGAAAACTGGCCCCTACGCAAATGAAAAAAATTTTAAAAACACCAAGTAGTCAGTCTGTTGACACGATACGAAACCATGGCTGACTACTAATATTGATTGGTTTTTGTTCAGTCGGCTGTTAGTTGGCTATGTTTTCAAAATGTACAGTACATTTTAATATATATTGCATTCGGCAGAAAGAAAGTGATGTGTAAATAAACTTCCGTAATTAATCTGGACCAGTTATGAAAATACTTTATTTTAAAAAGTGGCGCTTTATAGCTACACGAGGCTCAGGCGAATATGAATTAGTCTGTATGTACAGTATTGACTACAGGTATTTTTTCAAGGAAATATTTAGGAAAATATTTTCTTATAAAAAATTAGTTTGATTTTACTGTTAAAGGGCAATTGCACCATTCGCTCAAGCACCACAGAAAACCCAGAAAACGCCACGTGGTCAGTCTGTTTAGAGGCGCAAACCCATGACTTCGGTGGTTTTATTCATTGGGTCACTGGTGGGCCATTCTTTTTTGGAGTTGTAAATGTTAAGGGAATATTTTAGCGTGTATTTTTTTTTCATCTTGTAACATTTGTACAAAAGTAAAGATCGTATAAGTATAAAAAAATTAAAAATAACAGAATTTTTGCACTTAGAGAATAAAAAAATAAACTTATAACATGGATAATAAATTATTTTTTGAAGCATACGAGATTGTTTATTTTAAAACTAGTGCCTATTACAGTTTAAACATATTAATATTTTTTACAGATTTTAAAAGTTGATATGGAGATTATAAATTTACGACATACATGTCATATAGTGTGCCAGTAAAGCAATAAATGCAATAAATTACATTATTGTATTTATTTATGTGTTATAATAATCTTCACGCTAGTAAAAACAATCCTTTAGTTTAGTTAGCATTAAAGTTTTTTGTGTGATATATATATATATAGTGGTTATAGAGCATCCAATAACATTGTATATATATATATATGTGTGTGTGTGTGTGTATACAATACATATACATATATTAATATATGTTATTGGAAGCTCTATAACCACTATTGCATACATTTTCTATAGTCATTGATGATACTAAGAAGGTAAGGTCAGGTTTTACTGACTTCACCTTTCAATATTACTTTACGTTTTTATTTGTGTTATTCTTCATACCATAAGTAAAGAACTTACACAACACATACTTGATTCAATTTACAGACAGCAGTAAACACGTAAAATTTATAATTTCATCCAAAATGTGGAATAAGTAACTGCATTGTTTTATGCACAAGGAAAAACAATTATTCAGGAAGGTATATTTTACAAATTTTCTTCTGTTCTATTGAGAATTCCATTCGCGTTTTTACATTACTGTACCAGCAGTCAGCATTTAATTATGCAACGTAATCAATAAATATAACTGATCTGTAATAAAACCAACGTCTGGATAACGACATAGTTAATGAACTGTAATACAAAAAATGATAATGTTACTTATATAAATTATAAATATTAAAAAAATTATTCTTATTCAATATACTACTGACATTTAAATTACGTTTATATAATGGAATGACACAGATTACTTTAGTTTTGTCATTTAAGTAGCTCTATTTATGGCTAGAGCTTATAATTGAAATAATGAGATCAAAAAAGGCACTTTGTTATAATTTTTTATTTTTGAGAAAAACACAATAAAATTCATTAGTTGTATTGATCCTATTAAAATTTTAGGATATTTCTTTATTATTAGCAAAAATAAATTGAGTTTAGCTTATTTATGAATAATATGTTTGAATCTTAGGAAAATTCTTTCCTTAAATTAGGATAAAAACTGCTGACAAGTCTCCCTTTTTTATTTATGAAATACGATAGGAAACTTATCAAATAAGTTTTCTATAGTTCCACTGATTGGAAGTTTCATACAGGCTAATTAAATAATTCATTGTATGCATAAACCTTAGAATTAAATTATTGTTGTTTATTCAATACACGAATGTTAATAGAGGAATTGTAATAGGACGATTTGAAATTTTTGAATTTTTTGATGTTTTAGAGTCTCTTAATTTCAGAAATATGAAAAAAACGTAGGGAGAAAATCGTATATGTATGTATACGTTAACCTAAATTTACTTTGTATTCTAGGACCCCGTGGATCAAAAAGTTTGAAATTTGGCACGAGTACTTTTATATTCGTTATTACATTTTTGGGATTACATGTCGGAAGTGAGCAGAAACATAGGGTAATATTTTGAGATAGGTTAAACTTAATAATGTTTTTACTCGTTATTGGCATTTACTATTTTCTTATATCGAACTATATAAAAGTGTAAGAATTTTGCGATTTATAATTAATAATAATAATAGATAGGCACAACACTTTTGTCTATTTATATAATCAATATTCATGTAAAATCTTATGACAATAATAACGAAATTCTGAAAGATTTTAACTTATACTGAATAATTTTAATGAAACTTACTTTCACAATGAATATCGTATTTAAAATAATAAATTTATTACAAGTAAGTCCATCGTTCGAATGTTTCTGCATTTGAAGCAGGTTGAGGATCTGAAAAAATGTATCAGTTTTAAAACCATTTACACTTAACATAATTAATTGTCTAATTATATTACTTAGTTATATACACAGTTTTTGTTACTATTTAATTAAATAATACAAAACTTTGCAAGTGACTGTTCACATTTATCGAAATTTTGAAAAATGTAATTTATTTACTGCAATGTTGGCAACATTTTCTACAGTCCTTCATATATTTATATGAAGGATTTTTGAAGGATTGTGAACTAAATACAACTAAAGACACTAATATTGTAAAACTAATCTTACTTTTAATTCTGAATTAATATCGAAGGTATTGAAATAAAGTGACATCAGTAAATTCCACATTTTCGACATCTATGCAAAAAATAAAAATCCATCAACAACTATTCAAATATACAACTATAATAAGTAGTAAAATATTAACAATACTTACATTTATTGATAAAGGGAGAAAAACTGAAATATAGAAAACTAATGCAAAAAATAATGAAACAAACATAATACTATTGACAACTAGAATATAAACCGGTAAATCCATAAAAAGGATTGCGTATAAAACAACAATAATTTCGGTGATCATACTCATTGAAGCTTGAAGGTTCAGTTTACCAGTCATCTGATCAACTATTTGAATTAGAATATATAATGCTAAACCTTTTTTATGGATGATGTAAACATCCTTGTTGGTTTTTAATTTTGTTTCTTTTATTTCAGTTATAATGGAATGTATAATTCTCATAATTACACGAAGTATTGTATATCCAATATACGTGAATATCACCATAATACCTAAGCCATAACCAGCAATAACAGCCATATAACAGCAACAAAATGTATCGAATTCTTCCCATTCCTCTTTCTTTCTATATCTTAAGTATATATATGAATTTAATAGAATTAAATGTGAACCAATGTAAGTTAATAAACAGTTATAAGTTGAAGTCTTGTAATATTTACGGTCATCCATTTTTAAATTAGGTGACGAACGAGCAAAGAACTTAAAAATACGTAGAAGTTTAGTGAAATTTCGTATGAAATCTGAAGTATTGACAATATGCAGAATGACCAGTATACTAGAAATTAATAGAAATACTATTAAATGTAGAACATTTGATATGTTTTCAGGAAGTAAAACAACACAATAATTGATCTGATTTCCTGGTTTATCCGCTATTGCTAGTATAGTCTGAATCAGATAGGATATAAAAATTATATTAATTGCAAACTGATATAGCTTCTGAAATAAATTATACGAATGTGATTGTACAATATTAATGCCAAATATTTGAGCCACTTTCAAAATTTCATAATAATAATTTCCCAAAACTAATAAAACTGTTTTTCTTTTCATTTCTGTATGGAATTGTCCTACCTTCTAGCTTCTTATTCTCATTGACAAATGCTCCCTTAAAAATAAATGGATAAATGGATATTAATTAACTACCTTAAAAGCTAATTATATGAATCGTGTATTCATAAGAATCCTAATTGCCTTTTAGTAGAAATAAAAGCATCGAGTTACATATTAGCAATTGAATTAACCTAATGCATTTTTGTTTATTTTGGTTGAATCCTGATTAGTTTTATGTTTATTGAAAGAGATTTGTATTTGCTTTTAGGACAGAAATACCAGTTTTGTAACTATAATCTAAATACGATATTAATAGATAACTTTTAAGAGATCTTCCAAAGATTTCTATATTACATATTTGTATATACATTTTGTGTGATAACATAAATGTTAATTATATTGGTATCTCTTACTTGAAATTTAATTCATTTCCAGTACTCCTTTCGAACACTGAATTGTTCGAAGACTGGATCAATTTTCTTTATTAGATTATGGTAAAGTAAATTAATCTATTCCCTTAAACAATACCCTTTTCGTAAGACAGTAAATACACATAACATAAAACGGAATTAACACAAGTAAATGCTGTAAATAAGAAAGCTAAATTAAATATGAAAACAATGTGGTGTGTCTGAAGAAACCTCAAAGACATTCTATAGTTCTATGACTAACAAACTAAAAAGATATTTTTCTATGAAAATTCCGACAAACCTGAACTTTTCAATCGAGATAAGTTTGTGTATTTAATTAATAAAAAGTATAAACGATGTAATATAAAGATTTAAAACTCGACAGTTCTGTTAAATTAATAATATACAGAAACTGCTAGGTATAGAATAAGTAACTAGACAAGCAAACAATGATCAAGACTGTAAAATATTTTATAATCAGTAGAATTCATAAATGTACGATTATTCATTGACATTTTTCGGAGAAATCAGTTGGAAGCAATTGTTAAGTGTGGTTCGAATGATGCAACCCTACTTCTGATGAATATTTGTAAAATGCATACACCAGATATGTGGACCATGGTGCAGAAAACAGATAAAGGAAGAACAATTTTCAAAGATGTATATTACTGTGTTGAGTGAAAATGTTCTTGAATTGGAATCCATTTATCTCTTAGTTGAAGCGTTTATATTGTTATTTTGGCAATGATTATAAATTACGTCATATGTATATGTACAGTTTACTGAGCTCTGAAACGACAAATCTTGTATAAATCGACCCATCTAAAACGAGAGTAACAGGTTTTAATTTATTTTAAAAACAATAATTGTATATAAAATTATTACAGATGACAGAATTTGTAATTAGCATACAAAAATTAACAGAATAATTGAAAAAGTACTTAAACGTCGTTCTTGTAAAAACAATTTAACCAGTGTAGAACAAAGGAATCCTTTTGTCAAAATTTAAAGTTATTTTCCGCTATGAAGTTTGGCATGACAGATTTCGTAAACGAAGCGAAATATAAAAACGTTTAAAGGTTAAACATATGCTCTTTCACCTCACATTTGTAGTGTCCTACCTATCTACATTATACTTTCCTGTTAGATAGATAACCAGCACAACTTTATTGCTATCTGCTTTCAGGGGAAAATTTTTGAATTGAAATAAAGTAAGTTGCGGTTTGAACCGGAAATCGGGCCTGCTGCCGCTAAGCTTTTCATACCTGAATTCGACATATCAAAAGAGTTAGCAGAGCGATTAGGAGAGAAGACACCCGTAATATTTGGAGAAAAATCTGAATTAAAGATTTTCCCAGGAAAGGTTATACAAGCGATAGGTGTTGCTGCACCGATATTTAAGCTACGGGGCCATAAATTCACGAACACGTATCGGATAGTACAACCAGAAGTAACAGCCCTTTGTGTGGGAATAATTGGTCGAGATATATTAGAGGAAGAAAACATAGAAATAGATACTCAAAATAACGGATAATCTCGCAAAATGGAAAAGAAGTTCATTACTGTTCGCTCCACATAAAAAGAGAAGGGAGAAATAGTCGAAACAATAGAGAAAATGGCCAACAGTATTCAGAAACAAACATTATTAAAAGTGTCCGAGTGTCTCCTCACAGCAAACGCCATAGACAGAACAGACATATAGAAGATGATAGAAACACTAAAGTGAGGCGTTATATAAATAAAAAGAAAGTAGACAAATTAGCTAAAGAAACGGAAATGAACCGCGTTATGAGACGAGAAATTGGAGATTCTCAAGGATAATAGAACAGAAATAGAGGAAGTCCATTACCAGATCCACATAGAGAAGGGTCTACAGTGGTCCTCCACATAGATGAGAAGAAGTTCGACACCAACTTCCACAGAGATCCTCCATAGAATAGAGTTCAACTACAGTCACCCAAGAAGAAAGTTGTCTCCATAGTCCGGAGTACGACATAGATAACCCAAAAGTATAATTTGACTCCATAAAAATAGATCTTCAACAACCCAGAAGAGAATAAGCCCGTATATAGAAAACTCGACGAAGTAATTTAACTTGTACGTTAGAAGAAAGAGTTGTTCGACGCCTCTCCGAACTTTCAAAGAAGATCACTCAGCAAGGTAGTAGAAATATAGTTTTATTGTAAACTCTCTCTCCGCGAGATAAATATAGAATAGACTAAAATAAGGATTTCGATACCTATTTATATTATTTAGTTGTATCCTGTTTCATAGTTTTATTAAATTCATTGTTATTGTTTAAAATATGGTCTCCTTATTGACTCAAATCCGAGCCTACATCCACTCCACTTACTCACGACCCTCCCACTCGAAATTCCTCTAAAAAGAGAAATAAGCGTGCCTAACGCTATATCTAGGCTGGTGTCAAGAAATACAACTTCCAGAGGTCTCTTGCGAACTTCTGTTCTTTATTTTAAATCATAGGAAGCCATACTTTGACATTGTGAGCCAGTCTAATTACGTGCCGATTAATGCCTTAAGTTCCCAGCAATTTTTGATATTAATGTAATTAAACATAAAAAATACTTAAAACTGAAAAAAACTGAAAGAAATGCGTTAATTTTGAAGAAAAAGCTTCAAACTTTATTTTCCTTTGNTGTGAGCCAATCTAATTACGTGCCGATTAATGCCTTAAGTTCCCAGCAATTTTTGATATTAATGTAATTAAACATAAAAAATACTTAAAACTGAAAAAAACTGAAAGAAATGCGTTAATTTTGAAGAAAAAGCTTCAAACTTTATTTTCCTTTGTCTGGCCTTTCTGCGAAATTTGACACCGATGAGTCATTGTTTACACAGCTGGATGACCTTGAACACAGCTGGAGTCCTGGGACATTATCATAGATGTCTCGGGAGGACAAGGGTTTAAAGTAGGGTGAGTTCTATCTGGCCATATATTTTTAAATATTTTTAAAAAATTCAAATTTTAATTGCGATTTCCGACCCCCCCGACTTAATTAAACGTGTATGTAATAAAATCTATTAATTAAAAAAATTAAAAACNGTAATAATTATTAACATTCTTAAATAATAACTAAAATGATTTTTATATTTATCTGTATATGCTATATAGTGTGATCCTATAATGAGTGTTACCTAATAAAACATTTTCTTTGATAAGGAAATTTATATTCTGTTTTCACTAAGTGTACTGTACTTTCTTTTCGAAAGGTTTCGGATGAGTGAATCCATTTCACAATTGCATGAAATCTCTTCGAATGTTGTAAGTTAAATTTCGAAACTTTCGAACTATTACCTGCCATGTTTTCGTTATTTTTCACGCCATTGTTTTTAATAGTGCCAAGAACTATAACATATTTAATACATTGTTTATCGTATACTAAATAGATTACGTCAGTCATACATATATTTTTATACGTTAAAAATAAAAATTACAATAATAATAATTAAGAGTAAACATACTGTAACGTATTCTAAAATTAATGAATTATCATAAAGTCAGTGCATTTTATTGTTATCATACAAAAAATTGTTTGGGGGAACGAAAGGACCGAGTTTTATGTAACGCTATGTAACATGCCCGAGTTTTTTCGGGTGATGAACTAAAGGCGGTTAAGAGACCTAGAGTTTCAAAAGCTATCGGAACTTGAACTCTACGCTTCCGGTTCCTCACACTACGTAACACTTTCTGTGCGCATTGATCTCTAAACAGTTCTGAAAATGTAAAATCACTGTTACTGTATTTGCATCTTATACGGCTTCTGCAACAATTTATCATCGTAGCNAGAGTAAACATACTGTAACGTATTCTAAAATTAATGAATTATCATAAAGTCAG